TCCAGTCTTCCTCTGATACCTGGTCACGTGGGGACTAGGACACCAGCCAGAAGCAGGAGCCACATGAGAGGAAGACTGGGGAAATGTAGACTCACATACTGATTGGCTGGGCTTCTGTATGCACTGAGGTGAAGAGAGGCCAATCAGGAGAAAATCTGTCAAACTCAGAGAAGAGAAAGTCAAAGGCTGCTGAAACAGGGGTGGCGGTGTGGTTTCCAGCAGAGCCAGTGTCCGTTCTATGTGGAAAAGGAAGCTGGGAAGGAGTGAGGGGGGACTATGTCCCCAGACTGTACCTGAGGATTTGCCTGCACCCTCGTCAGGCAGCTGGAAAATTTGTTCCTGTTGTTCTAATTGCTGTTACTTCAACCGTGTATTTGGCGTCAAAGACCCTCCTCTCACTAACCAGAATTCCCTAAGAGTCTCCCAGGTGACCAGACTACTCCCGTGGAGAGCCCTCCACTATCTGTTATCCTCCTCCTAGATGAAGAAGTCTAACCAGTAAAGAAGAGCTCCTAGCAAGCAGGATTTCCCACACTCCTCTTCCTGCAGCTGTGCATGCCCACACGCTAACAACACAGTGACGACAGGATATTGGAGCTCAGTGTCCTGTGGTTGGCAGCTTTAGATGCAAGGATGCACAAGACTGGGATTTTAGTGACTGCATTCACCCACCCTGCTCTGCACTGCTCTCCAAGGTGGTTTCTCTGAAACTGGGTTCTTTGTCACTTCCTTCCCCCATCTTTTCCAGATCCAACTACGGAATCCTTCTCCATCATATCTAGGAGCACACCTTCCTAATATACCTTCCTCCATTGTCATTCTCTGACAAACATCTTTTGGCTCTTTATTAATTCTAGCTCAACATTTTGGTTCTTCATGAGCAAGATAGTTTTATGTTTTAGATAAGCATTTAGAGTATTGTGCGTTTGGAGTTCAAACGAAGTACTTCAGCATCTAGGAAGAAAAGGTTTTGGAAAATGGCAAAAAGAAGAGCAAAGTCAGGTGGTGGTGGCCCACACCATTAATCCCAGCATTCCAGAGGCAGAGGCAGGCAGAGCTCTGTGAGTGACTGCCCAGTAAATAAAACAAATTTCAGAACAGAGTTGTTACACAGAGAAACCCTGTCTCAAAAAAATAAATAAGTAAAATAAAACAAATCCAGACAAGTATGTGAGCAGGTAGAAAACAAGACAAAACCCAACAAGCTCACATTGAATTAGGAGGCACACGAATGTCCAGGTGAAGTCCTCTGGAGACAGTCTTTGGGATAGCCACCTTCTGTTCCAATTCAGCTTTTGCTTGAATGAAAATTCAAGTAAATTGGTGAAAATTCTGGTTTCTCATTCCACTGCAGGTTTTTTTTAAAAAACATCCTGGGACACACAAAAGACAAACCAGCTGGAAATGGAAATGGACCTGCCGGTTATTCTCAGAGACAATCATTTTACTCTTGGGCTGTTTTGCTCCTATTTTTCCTCTTGTTTATGAGTTGAGGGACCAGCCCATCCTCAAATACTAAGTCTTGGAGGACACTTTGAGATAAACACGCTTTGTTCTGGAGTTTAGGGGACTACAGAACTGTGCTACTTAGGTTTTTGTCAGCGTGACCATAAGCTAGGGGCTTCTGGAAAGAGGGAAACTCTGCTGAGGAAATTCTTCCATCAGATATAGGATTTTTGTTGATTAGGATTAGATTCAGAGAGAACGGTCACTGTGGGTGATATTGCCACTGGACAGGTTGCGTTGGGGGTAAAAGGCAGGAAGGTATGATCTTGGGTATCAAGGCAGGAGAACACATTCTTCCGGGGTCTCTGCTTCAATTCCTGACCACAGGTTCTTTCTCTGACTTCCCACCTTGGATTCTTTCAATGATGGGATAAAGGATGTGTGTTATCGCTGCCTGGTCTGTAAGGCTGGCAGTGTGGCTGTTTCACTTTTCTGATCCTCAGGCAAGCTTTATTTATTGAAATATGAATGAAATGCCACTATGAACTCATTGCCCAAAAGGAACCTAAAAATAAAGTTCATGAGGAAAGGCATAGATAAAAGCAAATAAGGAAGCATACCTGGACCGTGCATTTTTTGTCATGGTGTGGTGTCCCCTACTTTTGGGGATACACCTTTCTTGGACGCTTTTTGTAGGGTGTGAGATGCTGCTACATAGTCTCAGGATGCATGTCCTAATCCTCTTCTTCCATCTTGCCCAGCCCCTGGGCTGCAGGGAGCCTGTGGGTGAAGTCCTGCATGGTTCCAGACATTTAAGGGCTTTTCTGACCTAGAGCTAGTGGAAAACCTGCTGTCTTCTACCTCTCTCGCAATGCTTCTTGGGAAGCAAATTAACGGAACAGTCATAGAGTGTGGGTGACTTCTGCCCAGAGTGGGTGTCTTCTCAGGCAGGTCAGGGATATTCTTCTCCCTCTTTTGTCTTAGAGGAGGGTTTTCAGTGGATGAGACTAATATCCAGAGGGAAGGTTCTCTGGCCCTCCTCCTGGGGGAGGGGACTTGTGAGGGTCTTCAGCAGAAGGGAAAGGTGTCATCCCTGCGTCCATTAACTTTGTGTGGACCCTACTGTCATTATCCTGGCAAACCTGACATCTCAGTAAGTGGTATGCAGCCATTGTTTCATTGAATTTTCTGTGCTTTAAAGATTCTCTTATATCCTGAGTGTCAAACCCAATGTTTTCCATGGCTGCCATGATTTCAGCGTCTGGGCAGGTGGGCAGGTGGGGTCTCCATTATAGTTAATAGTAACAGTCCTTTCCCCTTTCTGAAGCCTGGGTGACCCATGAGGTCCCGGACCGTTGGCCCCTGACTTGCATTAACTGTTAATAATAGGTCGATCATGCTCCTTAAGTCTTTGGAAAGCTGATAGGGGATGTCATACCTTCCTTGCAGAACTTGTTCCCTAAGTTTTGACAAGGTGGCCCCTGAAAATGGGACATTCCCTGTTACCATATAATGTAAGAGGACTTCCAAGGTCCAGATGTGGGCTTTGGAGCCATCATAAGGGATGACCAAGAAGATTTCTGGGGAAATGAACTGGAAGGCACCACACAGCCTTTCCAGCTTTTGCCCAGGCCTGAATCTGGCACCCAAGCCAAAGTCAATAATTTTCACCTTTCCGTTCTCATCTACTATGACATTGTCAGGCTTTAGGTCTCAATGAGTGACACCTTCATCATGGCACTGAGCAGCTGAACAAATAGGCTTCTAGCCTCGTCTTCCTTCAGGCATCCAGCCTTACCGACGTGATGAAATAGCTGCTCTCCCTCAGCCACTTCCATAACTAAATAAACGTTCTGTTCTGTTTCTATCACCCGCAGGAGGGAAACATGTTAGGATGGCTGAGCATCCTCATGATGTCGGTGTTGGATGTTGTCGACTCCCACCACTTCTCCCGCTTCCCTGGAACTTTCACAGTGACTGGGGCACCTGAGAGACGATGCTGGGCCAGCACGACTTTGCCAGGGCCACCCTGACCTAAGGCCTCCAGGATGGTGCTCTGCCTGGTGAACACCTCTTCATCAAAGAAGCTGGGCACCGTGCTGGACTCTGCGTACTCGTCCTCACTGTCACTGGACATGCTTGGCAGTGACGCTGCTGCCAAAGAAAAGGGGAGGGAGGAGAAAGGAAAGAGATGTAAAGGAATGTACAGAGACATGAGGAATGCAAGCAGTAATATCCGGAGACATAAAGTAAACACAGAGGAGAAAATGAGGCTCTACGAACAAGTAGCTTTAAACGAGAGCACTGAAGGCACACGAACTAAACAAACTCAACGCCCAAACTGAGCTCTGACTCTCACTCCAGTGAAGGGGAAGAACCACTACTCAGGGAGGTTCTGAATGCTACTCGGAAAACTTAAACGGGAGCTAGGGGATAGAGATGAAAGTGAATGGAGCAAGAGTGAGTGAGAAAATGATATACAAAATAAAAGAAAAATTTAAAACCAATATCCAAAACCAGCTACCTATAATACCAATCAAAGAAATCCAAGCAAACCAGGACACTTTTTAGAAAACAAAACAAAAATCATTAAGTAAACTGAGGCAGTCAAGCAAATGTAAATAGCAAACCAGATAAATCAGAAATACTAGAAACTCGAAACTAGCCACAAGCCAAAGACGTGTAAATTCCACAGGTCAAGTACACTACTAATGACCTATGAAAAATTTAAAAAGTAAAAGGTTAAAGAGAACCAAAATAAATGAAATTTTAAAATATAGCAAAAATTCGATTAAAAAAAAGTTAAGAAATAAAGTCCCTCAAACACAACTATTGAACACTCGAGAAAAATAAAACCAGAAGAAAAAGAAGAATATAAGCAGAAACATAAATAAATAAAACTATAAATAGAAAACCAAGTGTCCAGGAGCGAGCAAGATGCCTCATTCAGTAAAGAATTTTCCTTGCAAGCATGAGGTCCTGAGTTAAAGAAAAAGATTCAGTCCCTACCCCAAAAATAAAAACAAAAGCCACCACCCACACTACAGAGGTCTAGTGTCACTAGCTTTAATCTCAGCACATGGGTCACAAAGGCAGATCCCAGAGGCTTCTTGGACAAGCAGCCTAGCTTAAGTGGCAAAATACAGGCAAGTGAATCCCTGTGCTTTGGAAATTGAGGTTATCAACATACTTTTAGTAAGTCACTGAGGGTGGAGCTCGGGCCTGCACCAGCAGCTGCACAAAGTAGGCAGATGAACCCACACCCATCCACCAAGACACAAGGATGTATATACACACAGCTACACACATCATACACCTACACACAACACGCACATCTACACCCACACCTACACCTATACACTCACACAGTTTCACACACAGACACAAGGATGTATATACACACAACTACACACAACTCACACCTACACAGAACACACACATATACACCCACACCTACACCTATACACAGTCACACAGTCTCACACACAGACACAAGGATGTATATACACACAGACAGCTACACACAACCCACATCTACATCCACACATACACCTATACACTCACACAGTCTTACATACACAAGGATGTATAAACACACAGCACATACACCTACACAGAGCACACACCTACACTTAACATACACACACACACACACACACATGCAGATGCAAGTGTGGGACTGCCCATCAAGTCTGATATGTAGTAGTCAGTCTGGAGTGAGCAGCGAGACTCGATGTCTCAGAGTAGAAGAGATGTGGTGTTTCTCTTGGGACAATGCTTAGCCGGGCATGGTGTGTATTTTCAGGGATGGGTTGCTTCAAGGACTTCTATCCATCATTGTATATGAGGCATGTAGGGACACAGCATCTGATACCCAACAGTACATGTGGACCGTTCCCAGGACTATTGTCCGGCTCAGACTGACACCTAGAAGTGTCTCCGGGCAAATAGGAAAGATCATCATGGCGTGCAAACTTGCATCATAGGCTGGGAGCTGGAGGATCAGAGCCTGAGGCTACTTCATGAGGGGGAGGAGAGGGTTCCTAAATGCGCTGGTACCTAGCAGTATATGGGGGTGGGCGTGGGTGCTGTCCTCTAAGACCTGATACTTCACCATTTTGAGTCAGTGCAGGGGGCTGGTGAGCAGTCACTAATGCTGGCTCTCTATGAGGGACATGGAAGGTGTGGCAGGGGTGAATCTAACCAGGCCTGACATCTAGTAGTGCAGGTGAGGTCAGGGGGGAGCAGTGGGAACAAATGGTAATATTGTCCATCACAGTCCTTCAAGAGATCACTAGCACTTACGTTGTCCTAAGGGTCCTACCCTGGCACCTCCCTGCTCTTATTCAAAATAGCAATTAACACTTTGTACCAGCTTTTGATACGGTAGATTGTTTTTGTTTAGGTCCTGAGATTCAGGTGATAAAAAGGCTGTTTACTGACTAACCATGTCCAGATATTATTAATCGCACTTAAGAAATGTAAAATAATACACGTATTCTCTGCCTTTTTCTTAGATCCTGCAGTGGTTTAGTTTTTTCTCTTTTGTAACCTGTAGCGGCCCCTTAAAGAGAAGGCCAGAACCTCCCCACAGCTGGAGCTGTGGTTAGACACAAACTAGCTGCTAAGTTTGCTGTGTATCTTCAAAGAATGCCCATGTCCCTGAGAACCTTCCTTGTTTGTTTGTTTTTTTAAAATATTATCAGCAAGCTATTAATGAATGGATATACTATATGTATATGTTTGGAAGTTTGTAATGGCAGGAGAATAAAGAGCGTGACTCAAACAGCGTGTGTGTGTTGAGTGTGTGTGTGTGTGTGTGTGTGTGTGTGTGTGTGAGTTCATCCTGTGACATCTTAGGTTAGAAATGTCCTAAGTCCCTTTCCCTGTGCTGAGGCAACTGACCTGAACCTTGGCAGGAAGTCAGTAGGGCCGGACTCTGCTGTCTCCCAAAACCAAACTCTTGATAATAGAAGAGACTCTTGAAATTGGGATCTAGAACTAATCATTTCGATTTGGGGTTCATCGTTCTCAGGCGTTTTGTGACAACGACAGAAGCTATCGCAGTGACAATGCTGAAAAGACTAAACTACACCGGAGGAGACAGAGAGGCAGTGGCCAGGCGATGGTGAGTAGGGTGCGATCATCGGGGTCCTCCGTGCTTCTGCCCCCCAAGGACCAGAGTAATAAAGACACGGTGATTTGTCCTCTCGAGGCTTGTCACGTGTTAGCCGGGGGTGTGGTAGAAAGCCCAAAGAAACCGACTTAAACCTCAAATATTTAAGTGTTTAAGCGTCTTATTGCAGGGTGTGGCTGCTTTAGGCCTGCAGCAGCACAGTAACGTCATGCTGGCAGGACCACATGGTGGAGGAGGTCTGTTCCCCTTGTGACAGCTGTGTCACAGAGCACAAGAATGTCTTAAAGAACACACACCAATGTGTCCCTGAAGGAACAGAACAAGCTCCATTTTGAGAAAGAACTCCGTATTAGACAGACCCTAACTGGGGGCGGGGGTGAATGCAGCCCAGCAAAGCCATAAACATTCCCCCCAAACTGTGCCTGCCCTGGTCAAAGCGGCCCACCAGGATACCCAAACAACATCTGTTTACATCTGCTTCCTTCAAAAGTCCTTGTAGGTACCTGATAACCACTATTTTGACTGTTTTGAAGTTCCCCTATATCCCAACTAACAAATGTAAAAGTTATATACTTTTACCCAATCCCCAAATGCCAAGGTTTGTGGCACTCTGCTTGCAGGGTTTTTTTTTCCCCCATAAAAAACCCATTTCCCTGAGAGCTCAGGGCCGTTCTCCCCCACCCGCTGTGGAGGTGTGTTGGATTATGGTCTGAGTTAGCTAACTTGTAATCAATAAACCCCAGTGTGTCTGCATTGGATACTAGCTCTGTGGTGGTCTTGTTTGAAGGTCCCATGACTTGGGTACAACATCACCATGTCTAGCACCCCTCAGTGGCAGTAGCTTCAGCAGTAGTAGGCCTTGAGGGGTGAGGGAGTTCCCGATCACAGCAGTCTCCAGGTGAGGGTGCAGTGGCAGGTGGCCCTCAGCAGCGGATGCAACTGAAATATTCAATATACCAGACCACAGACTCTTAGCAATACTTCCTTGCTTGTTTAAGTCTAGCTTGTAGAACTTTTAAGTTTAACCAACTCTTAGTTTAGGCTTCTATTGCTGTGAGAAACCACCATGACTGAAAGCACCTTGGGTAGGAAAGGTGTTTACTTCATCTCATAACTCAAGGTCATATTCCATTGCTGAAGGTAGACAGGGCAGGAACTCATTCAGGGCAGGAACCTGGAGGCAGGAGCTGATGCAGAGGCCATGGAGCAGGACTGCTAACAGACTTGCTACTTATGGCTTTCTCTGCCTGCTTCCTTAGAGAACCCAGGACCAACAACTCAGGGCTGTTGGCACACACAATGGGCTGGATCCTCCCACTCTTAATTAACCAATTAACTAAGACAAAACACCACATGTAGGCTTGCCTGCAGACCAGTCTGGTAAGAGCATTTTCAAAATTGAAGTTCCCTGGTCCCAAACAATTCTAGTTTATATCAACTTGACACAAAGTTAGCCAGCACACTCTTGAAAACAAAGGAATATGTACAAAATTGCTACTTACTTTCCTTTTGCTTTTGACACCCGTTTTCCTATTGTTGCCTTGACTTCATTCTGCTCCTGGGCTTGTGGGCCTCTTGTCTCAGCCTCCTGAGTAGTTGGAATTACAGATATTTACCACACTGCCCAGCTTGTTTCTGCATAAATTTAAATTTGTATTTTCATATTATAAAATCAAATTGGTACATAAGCACGGAAAAGTCGGAAAAAATTAAAATCTACATAAACATGTTCTTAATTTTTGAGTCAGTCTTTGTTAATAAGAACTCATTTTTCTCATTTTCAAAAATGTATACACACTATTTTGAGTTAAGACCACACTGTTTTGGCTACAAAGGTATGTAATTAATAATATCACATTGTCTTTCTGCCTGAGGCTCCACAGTACCTGGGGTTATGGGCACAGGTTGGGGTGTTGAGCTAAAAAACATGATTTACTATTTACAACCCTTCTGTTGCAGAATATAAGTAATTTTGCACAGTTGCTAGAGGGTATCCCTCCTGGTGTCAAACAGGGAAGCAAAGAGATGAGAACAAAAACCTGGTTCTAATTGACTCTGTCAACCTGGACCAGACTTTGAGGTGTCTGATGCCGGACTATTCATTGTCAGCATATTTAAAACACAGTGCAACTTAAGAAAGGGTTTTCAGGCAATAGTCAGTCTAATTTCGGGTGCACAAAACAGTGTAAGGTGTGACTACATAGAAACTCTTACACTAGCTATGAATTAGCTAGAATTTCATGTGGTCCCTGGCCGGTAGCTTAGAGGTCAGCAGGCTATAACGAACATGTGGCATTTCCCCTAAGGATGGGTAAAGTGGTCCAGGGATGGGAGAGTCTGGGATAATCATTTTGGAATATTTTAGTGAGGTCTGTGTCTATAGCAAAGGTAGGAGGGGTCTGCCTCTGCAGATGGCATAAAGGTCACCAGGTCATTAAGAAAATCCTCCCCCAGCCTTCTGGGTATTTTATCTTCTCCACTGGAAAGAGAGCCCTGTGCATATAGAATTCCTGGTTTCCCTAGTGATCTGTGGGTGGCAGGATCTTTGTGTCCCCCCAATACTTGCTTAATTCTGTGCATGTGTGTGCACATGTATGTGTCTGTGCATGTGTTTATAGATGGCTTAGTGTGCATACACCTGTGGAGTCCAAAGGTCCACACCAGTGTTGTGGATCTCTTCCTTAACCACTTCCCATCTTATTTTTGAGGCAGAGTCTTAGTATCTTTGAGACAGTTACCCCTACCTAGAAGAATATATTTTGCTCAGTTTGGGTCTTCTTGCTTGGACAAGCACTTTTCAGCTGACCATCTTCCCAGCCCTTACATGCTCCTAGCTTAAATAAAGACCAGTCTCTAATGTCATGCCTATCTTTCAAAAGACAACAGCTATAAATAGTAAATATGTCCACACCATCCCCTATATATTCTGAGAGACTAAAATCACTGTGCTGACAGTAAAAATTGTACGTCCAAGAAGACTTTGGAAACACGATTATCATTTTAGACAATGCTGAGAAATTTGTGGAAATCTGACAAGAGAAAAGACAACATTTAATGAAGCTGTAAGTGGGAAGGGCACTTTCCGTATGGAATAGGCACTTCCTCTTGCTTTTCACTGATGCCAGTTCAAACCGTGTAGTGGATTGACAGGAAAACAGGTAACATATCATCCAGTGAGGACCACTACTCTAGTATGTTTATAGGATGTTGAGTTAATGTATGTGGAACCCATGGTTTCCAGCCACATTGACACATAATAAAATAATTCATCTGTTGTAAACGCCAACATAAAGCAATAATAATCTATTTAAATTATTTTAGCTAAAACTAGGAGATATGTAACAGAGCAAATGTACCTAGGCAAGGTGCTGAGTGCATCCCCAGTATCACAAAAAGAACCACAAAAATTGTTTCCAGACTTCTTGTATCCAGAAGCCAGACCAGTGTGCCTGCAATCTTAACATTTTAGCACCACATTTTAAATAGGCAGAATCTTCAGAAGATGGCTGATACAATCGAGTAGTTGTTGGCTCACTGGAAGGGTGAAATTATATATGTATATATATATATATATACATATATATATATACAATCTGTTAATTGTACCAGACTTCTTTTAAACTCTCCTGTCCTGTGACATGTTAGCACTCAGAAGGCTGAAGCAGGAAGGCCCCATGATTGAAGGCCAGTCTGATCTATTTTCTAAGTAAATTCTACGCCAAGGCTGGGGAGGAGATGCTGAGGAAAAGCTGTCTTTGATATTGCTTTGGGGGAGTTTATGTTATCACTGAAAGATTTCTAAAGTCTTGTCCTCAACTGTGGCACTGTCGTCTCCTACGGTTGAGAAAATGCCTTCTGAGCTTTAACGGAAAGGGCCACCTTTGGAAGCAAGGCCGGAACAACACACGGAAAACATGCTCTAACGCTGGATTCCAAGATTACGCCAGCAGAGGGCATAGTTGGGCATTAGTAATCACTCCCTGCTAGGCGGCATTAAACCAGCACCCACGCGGCTGTCACAACAAAACACCAGTTACCTGATCCTCACTAAATTCACTGGTTTAGTGAAAAATACAGTAGGGCTGGGGTCACTGGGAAGTGGCCGATTTCCAATGAACTGCACAATGCCGGTTCATACAGGCACCTCATACTGTGAATAGGACTCCCCAGGTGGAAGGGGCTTGCCTCAAAGTATTGATCTAGGGGTTGGTGGGCTGGACTGGGGGCGGGATTTGGAGAAGTGGGGCGTGGCCACAAGATGAGTTGGTGTCGCAGTGGGGAGGCTTAACAGACATTCTCAGCCAGTGCTGGGTCAGCTGACTTCCACAGACCAGCCGGTGTTGGGTCCTTTCGTCACACGCCACAGGCAGGAGCGCGTGCCCTTCTCACCAACGGTCCCACTGGTTTTTGCCAACGGCAAAGCTCAGGCAAGCACAGACGCCTCTGCCTCCTACTGCAGGGAGCAAGCTCGGGAGCATCACCAACCTGCCTAGGCAGCCAGGACAAGTGTGAAGCAGCCCATGGAAGCTCTTGCGGCCACAGTGGTTCCATGAAGAGCCAGTGAAGTCGTGCAGGGCCCGGCTGATGTTGAAAGTTCATAGAACAGGTGAATGTTTTCACTGTTACGTTGGTCGACTCAGGCCGTTCACAGAAACGCTTGTGGGCCTTGGGCTATGCTTAGCTTGGGCAGTGGGTGGTTGATTGTTAGTAAATTGGTTATTTAATAAGAATTTAGCGCTTAGTCTGTACAATGTGACAAGCATGTCCAACTTAATAGTATGCTGAGAAAATGTTGCAGAAAGTAAATTCACCTGGACAGATTCCCACTAAAATTGCCTTTCTTGTGTGTCATGCAGTAGTCTTGGCAGGAGGAAGGGTCGTTTGGGTATTTTTTTTTGAATTGTATTAGTGGGCTGCTTATATAAAAACAACTTATAAGGTGTTTTATTTGCAAGACAGAAACCAGTTATGAAGGCAAAGTTAGCAAATGTTTGAGTCATTATTATAGCTCATAGGAAAACAAGCTGTTGTAGTTGGGCATAAAATACTGAATCTTGTGACAAGTGCTTCTAACTGTGGACAATCCATCTTATAATAGAGCACATATAGAAATATATATGCACACATGTGTCCACACATATATTGTGAGAGAATATGTTCTTGCGTGTTCGTAACTGTACTGACAGACATCCCTAGACTCTAGCTCTAAATGAAGTCAAGCAGCCATACCGTACTGTGAACAGATGAATCCGGGATGAGAGAAAATTCTAGGTGAGTTCTTTCCACTCCTCCATTGAGGGCAGGGTGAGCTATGTATCCTCCGGTCAGTGAGCTGAGTAGTCAGGAAAGGTTTGAGGAGTTAGGGGCAGGTCCCTGGAGGACTGAGACCACAGGAGAAACCTGAGAAAGACGGTGAGTGTACAGACCTGCACACATAAATCAATAAATCACCTTCTGCTTGCAAACTGTGTATCTGTTTTTTTTTTCTTTTTAATGCTGTTGTTGAAAGCTGGTTGATTGTAGAGGACGCAGTTCCATAAGAACAGCAGTGCACAGTAACGGGGTGTATCAACACCAGCTGCGACACTCATTGTTTGATCTGGTAAGTTATTTAAGTGACGGATTGCTGTGATTTTGCTCACTGTTTGATGGAGCTACCTGCTCCTATCTCAAAAGGTTGCCGTGAGGATGCCGTGTTTGCAGATGGCTGCACTTTGCTCAGGGTGAGGACTTGTCTGCTCTGCTGCTTCTTCAGAATAATTTCTGCTTGGGTTTTGCTCAGGGAAAGTCCTTTCTTGCTACCAGTGTTCTCGCTCCTTACAGTGTGTGTTTCCAGTCGTTACTCTCCATTCCATGCAGGGGGAGCAGGAAGACTTTCTTCTGTAGCATGCAGGATCCCCCTATTTTCTAGCTGCTGTTGGCACGACTCAAGGGGCCACATTCCATGATGTGCTCCCAAATGTTTTCATCCTATCTGTGCTTGGAGGGCTTCCAAAAATGTTTCTTGACATTTTGATTTGCTTGAATTTGGTGGCAAGAGGTAAATTTTACTTTGAAAACTTGTAAGCAGTGGTCGCTTTATAAACATCTAATGCAGGCTTATCCAGTGTGCCAAGGGCATCGGCCCTTAAAGGAGCGATAAGAGAAAATGTGTGCAGGAAAGTTAATGCCTCTAAAGAGATCTCCAGCAAGCTTTCACACTTGCATTTCAGTGGGGCTGTTGGATGGGAGGAAGATCCTTCAGTATAGTAATTTATATGATCTTTAAACAATTTATTGGCTTTATACTTGTGATTACAGAAAAAGATGCTCAGTTAATTTTTTTGTTTGTTTTTCAAGACAGGGTTTCTCTATAGAGCTTTGGTGCCTGTCCTGGAACTAGCTCTTGTAGACCAAGCTGGCCTCGAACTCAGAGACCTGCCTGCCTCTGCCTCCCAAGTGCTTGGATTAAAGGCATGTGCCACCACCACCCAGCTTCAGTTAAATATTTTTGTTGGGGTTTTTAGTATTCAAATGTGACATGGGCTTATGGTGCCAGACATGAATTATGAACATATTCATACCTCGTAGTGAAAGGACTATTCTTAGATGATTATAGTTCTTGTTGGCAATTGTTTACAGTGCAGATGCCCAGTTAAACATGGCATATTGTTACAGTAAAATTTAACACTCACATGGGATAGCTGCAGTATCTGATAAAGGAAATCTGCCCAGATTCTCTAAAGGCGGCCTCTGACCCTGTAATTGTCATTTCCTCTCAGAATGTCCTATTGGTATATGAAGCCTTCCACTATTGTGTGTTTGTCTTAGCAGTGTGCGTGTGAGAGCCATGCTGTAGTCAAATTCTTCAACTTGGATTCTTAAATGATCGTGACATATGTTGTCATATGTAGTGCATATTTCTGTATTTTCATGTACCATCTGTGCATCACGTTTGGGTGACTCATTTATAGTGTCTTCTTGCCCCCTTTCTTTCTATACTTAGGGATTTAGTATCTCATTTAGCAAGAAGTCTGGCAAAGGACAGTTGCTAGATTGCTCTCTGTGTTAGCTAAAAGGAAGCAGATTTTTCCATCTCCAGCGTGTGGACTTCTCTGCCTGTCACAGAGCAGTGTCTGGAAGCTGAAAGTGCATCTTTCCCCTTGCTGTCCTCTTAGTGAGCATATGATGTCATATATTTACGCCATTAATGTCATTGAAAAGCATACCATTTGGTTCTTTTGAGTACGATGAGAATGTGTGGAATCGCATCCAGTTCAACGTCCTTCACAACTCCTTAAAGTGAACCCTGGTTCCACTCAGAATCATTATTCATTTTTCTTTCCTCCAGATGCTTGACCATTTTAAAATTGTGACTCTTCATTTTATTTGTGACTTTAGAAACACTTATATTTTTTGTTCTTGCTTTTTGTTTTTTAAGACAGGGTTTCTCTGTGTAACCCTGTCTGTCCAGACATTCCCTTTGCAGACCAGACTGGCCTCAAACTCACAGAGATTCACCTGCTTGTGCCTGCTAAGTGCTGGGTTTAAAAGCATGTGCCACCACACCTGGATCTTTTATATGTTCTTAAAGTCCCTTATTACATGTGTCTGTTCCAAATATATTTCTCACCTAATCTGTGCCTTGTGCTTTTATCCTATTAACAGTGTGTTCCCACCGGAACTAGCGTGAAGGTGCTGTCACGGCAAACTCCATGTGCTCTGTCTGCAGGAAAGACCAAAGTCAAGCTGGAACCCAGTTGGAAGCTTTTTCCCTGCTGGCTTGCTTTCCTAGAGCTGGAATGTACTTTGCAGGCTCTGGGACAGAAAAATAGCAAACAAGTTTAACTCAACACTGGACCCTATGTGCTACACGACCGACCCGCTGAGCCATATGCCACCAGAGTAATAGTTTCATGACCATTAAGGGAATAGCCAGATGCTTTTGACTGGATTTGAGGCTAGCTCTTCTTAAGGAGATTCACACCTGGTACTAAAAACTATTCAATAGACTGGGGAGCCGCTAGGCCTTATTGTGGAAGATTCTACTGTTGTTTTGCTAAGCAGACATGCTGTGACTGGCAAATTGCTTTCTTAATTTTTACATCTATGACAATCCCTGGGGCTACTCTCAGCTTTGGTCACAGAAGCTATTTTTTTTTTCAGTTAGTGGCAATTGCAGAGACTCATAATTGGTCAAAGTGTTCAGAATTGGTGAAGACTCAAAACTAAATGGGACATTGAGTCATCCCAAGGGTCAGGGAACAATGCGGGAGAGGAAATGGAAAGAAGAGACAGTAGAGGTGGTGGGGGTTTATGGACCTCTGTCTTCAGGCAGCGTCATGCTCCACACTCATGAGTCTGGAGCAGCACCTGCGCAAGCCTGGGCGCCTCAGCGTAGTGTCATGGTGTTTCTACCTGGTTCATGATCAGAGAGGCTTCTGGCTGAGGAATTATTGTTAACGCAGAGACTCATGGCGGGTCAAGGTACTAGGAGCAAGCACTCAGTCTTAAATGGGACACCCATTCCCCTCCGTCTGAGGCTCAGAATATTGCAGAAGATGGCGAGGAAAGATTGTGAGAGCCAGACAGTGAGGAGGGAGGCTGTGAATAGTGTCTTCAAGGGAATGGCATGAGCATTGTTCTCATGAACTCCAAGCAGTTGCAGTTGCCTGAGAGGGCCTCCACAAGACTGAGCCCCTAAACTTCCATTCCCCGCCGGAGCGCTATGTGAAGTGCCAGTTGCTGAAACCTCCACTGCTGTGGTCTTAGGATGCAGGGAAATGAAGGTGAAATTGAGCTGGAAGCTTTCTCCCGGCTGGCTAGCTCTGATCGTGCCAGAATATGCTGCGAAGGCTCCGAGGGGAAGAAGTCATCAACAGGCTTATGAAGCTCCTGACCCTCTAATGACCTGCCAAGCAATATGCCCACCGCTGGAGTAAAAGGGGGTAACCTATTATTCTGTATGATTGATATATGATGCCAAAAATGTATCTATGCCTGTTGTGTGATAGACTGTTCCAGGGGAGACACAGAATGCAAATGCTTATTAACCCCAGGAAGTGAATTCACAACAGACTACTGCTTTTGAATGGATTTTAGTACAGCTGCCCTGGGACTTCATACCTGGTCCAGTAGCACTTTTCAGTAGCTACTAGGGAGCGACTAGACCCTGGGGAGGGAAGACCCTACTATTGTCGTAGATGGGGTAGGGAGAGTCATGGAGTCTTGTCCTGACCAGGGGCACTACCCGTCATGATGGGCTACCAGGGGAAGGACGTTCACTGTCTTTAGTGTTGTACCACGTACCACTGTCAACTCAGTCATGTTCCAGTGGGTACCTTCACATCCCTGCTCATGTGATCATCCCTCCTTAAATCCAGCAAGTCGTAAAACAAGAACAAAAATGTTCTAACAGTGGAGAAGGGTGGGTTGGCGGTGGTAGGAAGAGGACAAGGGAGGATTGGGGAATAGTGTGATCCGAATCTTTATATACATTATACAAATTTCCCGGAGTAAACCCATTCAAAAGAATACTTGGCATGCCAGTGTTCTCTCAAGGATGAGTGCTGGGCTCAGTAGACCCAGTCTCTCTGTGAGGATTTGGATGTGGCTAGGGATTGCTGTTAGGTCTCCACAAAGCCTCATGAAGACTCGCTCTTCCTTGAGGATCTATTGGCAGTTAATGGGGATTGTGGGGGAGTGGAGAGATACTTCTTTTAATAAGAAAATAACTGCTTTATTGCCCATGCTCCTTTCAGCAACCTTGGTTGAATTCATTAGATCAAACACACAAAAGACAGCAAAGTGGATGGAAGTCTGGTTAGGTGGAGGAAGGGCATTAATGAAAATAGGAGGGGGCCCCAAAAGGGTAATAGGAGCTGAATATGATAATATATATATGTATGAAATGTCATAATGAAACCTATTCTTTTGTATAGTATATATATGCCCAAACCAGACCATGATAGACATTTCCTAGGGAGATGAAACACACACGTTTACCCCAGAAAGTGAACTCATAGCAGATCCAAGTAGGGATTGCACACAAATTCAGCTTGATGATCTAGTGATTTTTGTTGAGGTTGCTTAAAGAGGTGGGATCACTTTAAATCTTTGGGACCAACGAGATGTCTCAGAAGTCAAGAGCAGTGGCTGCCTCTCTAGGGGATTTGGGTTCAATTCCCAGTTCCTGGACAAGTTTACAGCCTCTGTAACTCCAGCTCAGGGCACCAGATGCCCTCTTTTGGCCTCCATAGACACCAGGCATGCATGTGGTGTGAGGGAATACATGCAGGCAAAACACTCACACACTAGTGGGAATGTGGTGCGTCTGAAAAGCTGGACACAACACAGGAAAGCTGTGAGCTGGAGCTTCTGCAGGTTTACCAGCAACTCACAGTCCCGTGACCTCCTCTCAGTCTCGGGCTCTGGGGTTTTCCCACACCAATGTTGGTTTATGCCTTTTGGCCAACCAGGGAGAGTCATCCCAGAAACTTCCAAGTTTCTTCCTTTTTGGATTTGTGATCTTTTGTTTACCTCCTGAATGAGCCTTCCTTTCCTGCAGGGAATGTTTTAATAAAGAGGAAATGTCCATACATCATTTGCAGAGCAGGAATTTGCCCTGTCCACTTGATCTTAGGAGGCAGACTGAGAAGCTAGATTTTGAATCAATTCCTACATTGTAGTGGCGTCTTGCAAGGGCCATGACTTTTGTATTGTATCTCCAATGCTCATAATGAAATCACATAACCAACTTCTATCTTCTAGATTACAGTTTTTCATTTTAGTTTTTGGTCCATGATCTCTTGCGAGTTGCTTGTGTTTATTGTGATAAATGCACCCAACTTAAAGTTACATGATACCATTTATCTGTACAGTTGTACAGTCCCTAAGTCCCACCATCTCTACCATGTTTTCAGTGTCCAGTAATCAGTGTACCTACTTCACACTAACTGTCCAGCCCTGCTCTTCATTGTCCTTTTGTCTCTGTAGGTGTGAGGATCTAGGTATATTGCACAAATGCAATCATATAGATTTTGCCCCTTTGCCACGGCTTTATTGTTCGTAGCTTAATTTCCTCAAGGTTCTTGCATATGGTACTGAAGGAGGGGTCAGGGGAACTTGGACAAACTTGTCCTGATCTAGGAAACAGGGACTGGCCATTTTAAGAGAGGTTCCTCATCGTTCTGGGTTTTTCTTTATCCTGAACTTTGCAGTTCTTACAAATTTCTAAGAGCTATCAGGCTGGGGACCAGCATGCGAGAGGGGGAGACCAGCAAAGGAAGGGCCCTGGAAGCTTCTGAGAAGTCTCAAACAGTCTTTAGTTCCCTTGATGGGAGTTATTTCTCCAAATAAAATGTGTTCTTTCTTTGTGGCTTTTGCCTCTTGGATGCGCAAGTGTACAGCCTTCATACTCTCTCTCATCACGTCATGTCACATCACTTCTCAGCACATCACTTCACTCTCCTGTGGCTCTTCTTTCCTGAATGTACAATTCTTTTTCAGTCCCACAGAATGAGCTCAGTGGTACCCTAGATGGCCACCCTTCCCCCATGAAACTTCAAGCAGTACACATCCTTGTTTCCTTCCTTTGTAAGTCTGAATAATATTCTGTGGTAGAGCTAGTCCACGTTTTTCCAATCTTCTGTCTTTTACTTTGGGGCTGTTATGAATAATGTTGTGTCCGTGGTCATTTAATAATCTGTTCTTGACTCTACATTTTTCTGAGACAGTCTCAGAAGTAGAATTGCTGGATTGTAGGGTATATCTTTTTTTTTTTTGACAATTTATGTAGCTCAGGCTGACCTTGAACTTGTGATTGAAGAAGAGTCAGGAGAACTTAGGTCAACAAGAAAAACAGAAGCAGGCTCCTTTTAGAGGTGCTTCTTTCTTCTGGGGTTGTACCCTGCACTCCCCACACCTAGCTAGAACATTGGACCTGTTACAAATTGCAAATGGCTGGCAGTGACAGGATGAATGGGGAGAAGGGAAAAGAGTCTGGGGTTGGCAGAGCCTGGAGAATCCTATAAAATGTCCTGGAGACCCATAGTCTCCTGGTGGGCCCCCAGTTCTGGGACCTCCTCCACCCCCATGACTTCAACCGTCTGCTCTAATACCCTTTATGGTTTTCATTCTCTTTTGTCTCCGGCTATGCTTTTCTACGCCGCTTTCTTAGCATTTAGCACCTGCCGCCATTGCTTCTTTCTGATGGAATTTTTGTCTCCTGCTCTTCCCAGACATCCAGTCTTTTCTTTGCCCCATGGGAATGAACCCAGTGGATCCCATCAACAAATACCCCTCCTCCCCAAACACACATAACATGATTGGCCTGCTACAGTTTCCAGAGTGCTGGGATTTCAGGTCTTGTTGAAGGGCTGGTCTGTGCCATTGGCGTGGGTTTCTTCTCTTTGGCCTCTGCCTGTATTTGAAGGTTTCATCTTTTCAGGGTGCCCCCTAGTCCCTTCATGTTCTTCCTGGGTATTTTAGAAAATTCATGCTCTTGACTGCACGGTCCAATTGCCCCACTTTATCTTCGACTCCTGACGTTCCATTTTCTATTTGTTGATTCAACTTGAAAGGCTTTCTCATGCGTTTTCTAAGTGGGTTACTGAGTTGTTCGGTGCTGTTCTCATTTAAGCTTTGAATTATCATCATTAGTTTTCTTTACTGATTTTAGTTTTTACATCCTGGGTTGTCTTCCTCGTTTCATTCAGCCTTCTGTTGTGTTTTCTTGGGCAGTTCTCAGGCATTTATTTCCCGTAACTACGCAGAGACACTCTTTGAGCCTCCTTTGGGCTCCTTGAATTCATTTATGAAGCTGAAGACTGTTCTTTTAAGTTCTGTATCCCGGCATTCATCTAGGTAATTCTCACTAGAGAACATTTTGATAGGACTGGTGGATTCCACGAGCCTGGGCCTATTTTCTTGACCTTTGAGCCCTTGGACTTCCTTATTGGTAAGGTATCTGTTGTGGAAACAGCAGACTGAACTGGTAAACAGGATGTGCCACTAGGCCTAAACCTGAAGGTTGGGAAAGGTTCAAAGGGGCCTATTAGGCTGGACCAGGGGGTGTGGTTGTGAGGCCCCTGATTGAGTCTGGGAACTGCAAAGGGTACAGGCAGGATAGGGTCAAGAAGAGTGACTAAGCTTGGTGGGAGCACAGGATACTTGAACCAAGCTCAGCTTGAAAGGTGAATGTTTATGAGGTAGTCTTAAGACACTTTTCTTTTTCTTCAGTAGGGAGAGTTGAAATCCTAATGTTGGATTAATATGTAAATGTATTTTACTTTTAATCATGTAAGAATTATTTAGAGATTCCACCTGCCCACCAGTCACCTTACACAGGGGGCTGTCTAGCACCTTGTGGAATCTAATCTAGAGTAGCTCTCCCACGAGCTGCCTGCCTATTTGGCATTCTGCCTACCATATTACCTGACACTGTTTAGCCAACCCTCAGACTCCAGGTAGGGCCTTTTGGAACCATTCCAACCACCTACCAGACATCTTACTGAGGTGCCTGGCACCACGTGGGGTCTCACCCAGGACTCCATGCAGGTTCCACAGACCCATTCAACCCACCCATCAGTAACCTTCCCACTTAGCTACTGGGTACCATCTAGAGACGGACCTAGAACTCCTGGCAGGGCCTTCAGATCCACTCCCCTAGCTGCCTATCGCTCAGTCATCCTACCCACCAAGTTGCCTGTCTCGGTGTGGAGTCTGTCTCAGAATTCCAGGCAGGTCCCCCAGACCTATCCCACTTGCTCACCCAGCATTCACTCTGCACCCCACCACCTAGAACCCAGGAGGTTGTTTTCTCCCTATGGACATCCATGCCAGCAGATTGTTTGTGCTGACATTTAAAGAAAGTTCATATTTTCTCCAGAATATGTGCTGAGAGAATTTGAATTCTTGCTCTATTGTGTTTTGGAAGGCATGAAATCAG